AACAATGAATGCTCAGCCATAAGTGAAACATCTATTATCACTCCCTCCAAAGTTCAGCAAACACTGAGGAGTAAGGGGCAGAAGGGGGGGGTGGAATGCTGACTTCTGGACATGGCATGGTTGTACTCTTCAATTCATAAGATGATTAACTGAATAACACTGGGAAGGCCAATATCCTATCATTAAAAGAGGAAGGCCTTCTAAGGCTCCATCCCTTTCTGAAGATTTATACATAATGATTGTTGAGAGAGGAAGAGACATTGTCATCAGTGGTACAGACACTGACTGGTAAGGTGCCCATGACACCACACACACACACACACACACACACACACACACGGCAAGCTAGTTAGAAAAAGGAAAAGGATTAGCAAGAGTGGAAAGGGAACAAGAGGGAATGAATGAATCTGATAGTATGTTCATGTATGAAAATGTCATAATGAAACCCATTTTTAAGTATAATATATGCTAATAAAAAAAAAAAAAAAACCTGGAGAGGGGCAAGAGCCAGCCTGTGCTACAAAGAAGAAATTAGCAAGGCCAGCTGGTGACCAAAGGTGGTCTGTAATTCTGAGTCCACAACTGAGATCTACTGGTCCCAATTATCATCATACAATGACTATTTGTTCATAATTATTATTATTTGGGGGGTTTTTTGACCTTTTTTTTTTTCCCCCCTTTTGAGACAGGGTCTCCCTGTAGCCCCAGCTGTCCTGGAACTCAATGTGTAGACCAGGCTGGCCTTGAACTCACAGAGATCCACCTGCCTCTGCCTCTGCTTCCCAAGCCCTGAGATTACAGGCGTGTGCCACCATGCCCGGCTCTTTTTGAGATAGGGTCTCCCTGTAGCCCCAGGTGGCCTGGAACTTGCTATGTAGGCCAGGCTGGCCTGGAACTCAGAGATCAGCCAGCCTCTGCCTCCCGATTGCTGGAATTAAAGGCATGTGCCACCATACCCAGCTTGTTCACAATTACTTTTTAAAAGACTTTTCTAACTAAAAAATTACTACTTGACAATATTTTAATGTGTTTCATTTCTACATCCAACAAAGCTGAACATAATGGAGAATTAGTAATTAATACACTGGCAGAAATCAATGTAAGCCAATATAAATATGAAATTTCTTTTCAGGTTTACTTCTATGTATACAGATTTATTGTTTTCAAAACCCAGTCTTCCATATCCAACTACTGAAACACCATGGCTCAAAGAGACAACTGTAGAGTCAGGTACAATCTCAGCAACTGGAAAGTTGAAGAGGCAGGACCACTCTGGGCTACATGAGACCCTGTTTCAAAACAAAAGACAACTAAAAATTGTATGGGAAAAGATGGGGGCTAGGATGGAAACTTAGCTATACAGCTCTCCCAAATCCTAAACTTAAAAGTAGTTCATGGCTGGGAGTGGTGGCACACGCCTTTAAGCCCAGCACTCAGGAGGCAGAAGCAGGCGGATCTCTGTGAGTTCAAGGCCAGCCTGGTCTACATAGTAAGTTCCAGGACAGCTGGGGCTCCAGGGAGACCCTGTCTCAAAAAAGATCAAAAAAAAAAAAAGTAGTTCATGATAGTAGTTATTTTTTGAGACTTCCTTGTGCCCTATAAACATGTTCTAGAAAGTACATCATCACTGCTCCAGACCAGAACCTTGGGGAGGAAATACTTCATCAAATTCAACTATCAATTTCAATTTACTTTTTATGATATATTAGATGTAGAATACAGGATAATGATACATTTACTAGTCAATGCAATTCTCTAACTTTTAAGTGAAAGGATAGTGCCTCTTTATTCTATTGAAAACAGCCCAACCAATAAATTATTACAACCCTCCTAGCACTTGGGAGGCAGAGGCAGGTGGATCTTTGTGAGTTCCAGGACAGCTGGGGCTATGAGGAGACCCTGTCTCAAAAAGACAAAAAAACAAATAAATAAATAAACTTATTACAACCCATATCAAAACAAGTAAAATATGGGTGTTCCTCTCTTGGAACTCCTCCCACTCTTCAGAGTTCTTTCTTACCTTTCCTTAATAAACCTACAACTGTTCTGCCTTCAAAAAAAAAAGGTAAAATATGTAATATTCTAGTCAATAGAAAATATAATCTCAAGCCAGGTGCCATGGTACCAGCCTTTAATCCTAGTACTTGGGAGACAGAGGCAGGAGGATCTCTGTGAGTTCAAGACTGGCCTGGTCTATGTATCAAGTTCTAGGCCAGATGGGGCTATGGGGAGACCCTGTCTCAAAAAATACCAAAAAAATAAAAAAAAAATTATATAGTCAGGCATGGTAGTTAGTATAAGCCTGAAAATTCAACACTAAGAAGGCAGAGACAAGAGTATCCCCACTTTGAGTCTGAGACCAGCCTGGGCTACACAGGGAGATCCTGTCTCAAAAACAATAGTTGTCTCTTTGTCTGCTTCCTGACTGCAGGTGCAATGTGATCAGCTGCCAAGCTTCTGCTATGACTTTGCTGCCATGATGGTCTGTACCCTCAAACTGTGAGCCAAAATACAATCCTCTTCCCTAAATAAAAATAAATTTTACATTATTTAAAGAATACTCTTACTACACAGCTGAGTAGCTCTTAGTCTATACTTATGCTCAAACACCATCTCTACCATATCCAAGTTTAGTAACAAGTTACTTCTCAGAACTTCAGTTTTCTTATCTGTTAAATGTGAAGCCACAAAGGCTTCTTGAGATTTAGTTAATATAGTGTTCAGAACAATGCCTACAATCTCAATCTATAAGTGCCATTATGTTTGCACCAGCATTATTACTCAAATGAATGGCAGTATTTAGATGTCATGCTATTATCAAAAAAGAATTTTCTAGAGCTAGGCAAGGTAAAGTAGCACAGGCCTATAATCCCAGCACTTAGGAGACAGCATGAGGTCATAGTCGAGGTCAGCATGGACTATATAGAAAGGCCCTGTCTCACTCACTCTCTCACTCACACACACACCCCTTTCTAAGTCAACAAATTTATACCACACAGTATTTACCTCTAAATTAAAAAAAATTAACATCCTAATTTTGAATTTCACTGGAAAAAGTCAAGTAAAGGTCTATATCAGAATATGAATCCAACAATAATTTTGATACTGAAAAATTCAAGACCTATCTACAAAAAAGTCTCATATTCCAGGTATGAGACCAAGCCAAATCCTAAACATACTGACACACCTTTCAAGCCTTGCAAGTGATGATGTTGACTTATGAAAGGAACAAGGCTTGCACTGTTTCTGATCAAGTTTTCTTTTTTCAAACTACTTGGTCTCCACTGCTCATTAAAAGCCTTACGTAGTGTGGAAAAATAGTTCTACACTTACCAAGTATTTTTTTGTAATTAAAACCTAACTCGTCTCAACTAAAGATAGAATTGGTGGTAGTGGGCTGGGCAAAGTCTTCAATCCCAGCACTCAGCAGACAGGCAGGCAGATTTCTGGATTCTGGCCCAGCTGGAGACCCTATCTCTAGGGGAAAAAAAAAAAACCAATGGTAGCGGAATAGTTTCTTACTTAATACTTAAAAGCTCTATATTAAATAAAGGCAAGTATGGTGGCATTTGCCTGGATTTCCAGCTACTAGGGAGGCTGAGGCAGGAGTATTTCAAGTTCAAGGCCAGGGAGGATGAGGCAGGAGTATTTCAAGTTCAAGGCCAGGGCAACATAAGAGATCCTTTCTCAAACTATTTTGGGGTTTTTTTTAGATCTATTTTGCTCACTGTTGCACTATTTGAACTGCTGCTCAGCATATATTTAGTATTAAAAATTATTCATTTTCAGTAAACATGAAAAGTCCACCACCATGTTTTAACTACAACTTCCCTTACAGAGTAATTTTTTTTTTTTCTTTTGGTCTTTTTGAGACAGGGTCTCCCTGTAGCAAAAGCTGTCCTGGAACTCACTATGTAGACCAGGCTGGCCTCGAACTCACAGAGATCCACCTGCCTCTGCCTCCCGAATGCTAGGATTAAAGGCATGCACGCCACCACACCTTACTACAGGGTAATAATTTTATCTCTAGGCAAAAATGGAAAATATAAGCATTCCTCAAGGAGTATATCAGACCCCAGGGAAAAACAGCTAGCGTTTATTTTCTAATTCCCCATTCCACTTTTAGTAGTCTCAGATGAAGTCACTTTCGAGCAACTTCTGGATTTGCCATTTAAAAAAAGACACATGCTGCTTTGCCATTATTTCAAACCAAATTCTAAGGGATTCTAAACCAACTTTCTGGACCTAACAAAATGTATTCAAACAAATAAAAATGGGTGGTTTGTCCACATGCTTAGTCACTTAAAATCTAAGACTTCAAAAGGCTTGATACAAGTTGCAAAGAAAAAGGTCACCCGCCCCCAACCCCCAGTAATAATCAGATTGTCCTTCCAAGCTATCCTCTAGCAACTGGCCACTGGGGATGGGCACCTAACTTTCTGTTTCAATTACGGTCATATACCTATACCAAAAGAATTGTCTTGCTCTACATCCTAATATTACATTAACTCATTTAAAGATATTACTAGAAACGGTCCTCAGGTTAGTGGACAAAGGTCAACGTCCTCTTTGTCAATGGCTTTGTCAACAAAACAGAAATGAACTTTCTTTTACTTCATCTCAGTTGTGCAAAGAGCTGGTTACCCATATGCTTGTGCTTCCATCAAGATTTTAAATCTTCACGGAGAGTCAAATGACAAAAAAAAAAAAAAAAAAAAGCTTCTGAAGCCATGAAAATACGAAAACACGCAGTGGGCCAAGGAGGGGTTTAAACCAAATCTAGAATATTCGAAATCACTTAATAGTCAAGAACTACTCTAACAAAAAACGGTGTTAAGTTCAACAAGGTGGCGCCAAGATTTCAAGAAGTAAGCAATTCACCTGTCTACACTGTTTCCAAAGCCTAGGAGGTCTCTTAAGATCTGACGTTCAAGACCAAGTTTCTTGGGCGCAAGCGAACTTCTTTTTTCCATAGGGAAATCACCGCCGTAAGAACCTACCTTCCCATTCTCTTAAGACAACAAATGCCATACTAAGCTGGGAGCTGCATAGACCTAGTTAATGCTTCAAAGCCTCTACATGGAAATGAGGTGTGATGGAGGTGTGCATGGACCACATCTACTAATGGAGAGCATCTCTAATCAGAGGAGACGCTGACATCGAGGCAATGTCAAGTGGACACACAGCTGAAGACTTTCCACACGGAGAGCATGTGAGCTCCTCGGAACGCCAGGGCCTTGGAGAAAGGCCCAGAATCCACGGGCACGGGCTATTTCCACCGGCACGACTTCTCAGAAGCATCCTTAGGAGGCCACATCAGCTTCTCGGCCTGGAGCGGCTGGGAAGGAGCGGCGCCAAGCACCATCTTTCCTCTCTGGGAGCCGCAGCCTGATGGACAGGCTTCCGACCCGAGCTCCGTCCAGCTTCCACGGGGAGAGGGGGAGCGCAGCGTGGTTCCACCCTTTCCTCTCGCACCAAGCGCAGCTGGGCGGCCGTGGCAGTGAGGGGAGGCGGCTGGCGCGTGCGTGCGTGTTTACGTGTCTCGGGTGGGTGTGGGAGGAGAGAGAGTCCTAATGAAAGATGGAGGGGGAGAGAGAAAGAGGGGGCGGGAGAGGGGAGGCACCACCTTTCTTTTCTCTGCTCTTCCTGGGGATCTGAAAGTTCCGCCTAACAGGCCTTTCCGGCTCTTCCACGCCTTTGGGCAGAGCGAGCCCGGCCGCTTCCGAGGCGTCCTGAGGCGGCTCGTGGCTGAGACTTTGGGAAGCCTCGGGCTCCTCCGGCCGCGCCCCGCCACCGGGCTCCGAGGTGGGGAGGCCGCCGCCGCTGCCGCCGCCATTTTGTGGGGAGGACTCAAGCTCCGGAAGCGCCGGCTTCATCTCATCGTCGCCGCCGCCGCCGCTCTCCCAGCCGGCGTCCGTCGAAGAGGCCCGGGTGTCCGCGGCGGTCGCCATCGCGCGCGGGCGTGAGGCGCTCCGGGAGGCTTCTGCCCACAGGGGCGACGGACGTGGGGGGAAGGGGCGGAGGGGCCGGACTCGCCCCGAGCTCCGCGCAGCCCACCCACCCCCTTCCCCCCCGGGACCGCGGCCCGCGCTCCCGCCGCAAAGGCACCTCTGGAACGTCAAAGCAGCTCGTAGCGCGCCGCTCACCCCAAGAGCCGCTCCCAACCAGGACAGCTCTTCAACCAGCCCCCGCCACCCAACGTGCCCGCGTCGGGGCCGGGAGGAGGCGGGGCCTCGAGGGCCTCTCCTCCAATAGGAGCGCAGAGCCCGCCTCCGCGGATGCAGATAGACCGCGCGGGGGGGCGGAGCCTCGCTGAGCAGGAGCCCGCCAAAAGGGGGATGGCAAGGCTAGGCGAGATTCTCGACGCCACGGCCGCCCGGGGCCTGCCTGGACCCCCTGCGCGTTTCTGGGCGGGGCCCAGGCGGCGCTGTGGAATCCGGAGGCTCTTCAGCAGGGTCTTCCGGGCGCTGGGCGTCGCCCCTTTGGGGGCCAGACCTCCTCCTGGACTCAACGAGATCTGTGGGCCGAAACAGGCTCGTTGCCGGGTTTGAGATTCTCTGGTGTTCCTAAATTGGGTCCAGAAAGAAGATAAGAAAATGGCGTCCTTCCTTGAGATAAAGCGGAGGCCGCAGGGCCTGTGCCACAGTCCTTTAAGCGCGTGTTTCTCCAAGGTCACTCAGCGCTGAAGGAATGCCTGAGGTCCTTTGATGTGGTTTACGATCTGTTGTGGAGAACAGAGAGGTCTGGCTTTCTGGCATTTTTCCCCTTTGGCTTTTTGCACTATAGTAACTGTGTGTTTTAAAAACTTTTGCAGACTTCTTTTTTGTCGTGGGGGCGGGGGTGCTCTTTCCGAGCGGGACTACAAGGAGCCCCTGTCGCAAAAAGACCAAAAACCAAAATCCTTAAAATACATACGCGAAGTTGTTAGTGTCACCTAAAAGAAAGCAACTTGATAGTCAAGTGGAGTGTCTTTGGGTAAGTTTCTTCCTAATTAAACCTGCGCTTAATTAATACAGACAGTATTACTGGATGCTTTTCATATGCCAGGCATTAGTCAAAGCGGTTGAAGATGCTTGCCCAGTGGTTGGACAAATTGAGGTGACTTGAAGTCAGGTCTTAAAACATTGCACCAAGACCTAACCTTCACAGCAGCCCTGCACTTTCATGCATTTTAGGAAGAAACACAGAATCTCAAACCAGTAGGATCACGATTGGGATTCCCAGATATTTGTTCCCACAAGCCTTGACAGCCAAAGGAGCTGCTAGGTGATAACTAAAAGTTGCAGCCTCCTTTAGGTGGTAGCTCCAAAAGGAACATTTGGAAGGGGCAAAAGGTTTGGAAAAATTACAACTTGTTTGAGGTCAAATCTTCCTGGTGTGGATTGCTCCACCCATGTGAATCAGCAAATCAATGGGAAATACCTGTAAATCAGTTAAGACCTGGACAAAAGTTACTGCTTGTGGGTTAAGTGCTTGCCTATCCTGCACAAAGCCCTGGATTTGATCCCCAGCACTGCATAAACTGGATGGGGTTGTGCATAACTGCAATCTCAGCTCCCAGAAGGTGGAAGCAAGAGGATCAGAAGTTCAAGGTCAACCTGAGCTACCTAGGGTTTAGGCTGGACTACAGCAAAAAAGGACAGAAGCATTTTGAAAAAAAATTTAATGATGAAAGGCTGAGGGCTAGGTTGAGAAAAACTCATACATTATTTTTAAAATAATGTTTTTCCGGGTGTGGTGGAACATGCTTGTAGTTCACGACTCGGGAGGTAGACAGGCGGATCTCTGTGAGTTCAAGGCCAGCTGAGGCTACAGGGAGACCCTGTTTCAAAAAAAAGAGTGTTTTAAGGGGCTGGAGAGATGGTTCAGGGGTTAAGAGCACTGGCTGGCTGCTCTTGCAGAGAATGGGGGTTCGGTTCTCTGCACCCACATGGTGGCTAACAATCATCCCAGACTCCAGGTCCAGAGGATCCTATACCCACTTCTGACCTCTGGGAGTTGTATGGCATGGGTGCACTTACACACATGCAGGCAGTACATTCATACACATAATGAACTATTTAAAAAACGTTTTTAAATTGAGGAGGCTGGGTGTGGTGCGGGTAACCAGCCCTGGTGAGGCAGAGGCAAGAGGACTGCCACCAGTCAAGGCCTGCCTGGACTGCAGTCATAAGATCCTATCTCAATAAACGGCTGAGAACGCAGCCCAATGCTAGGACCTTGAGCACGTCACTAGTATTCAGGAGGCACAAACACAGATTAAATAAAATTTGGGAGAGGAGTATTACTTGATGTGAAGAGGCTTTAGAAGATCAAAAACTAAGATTTTTGCAGTCCTCATATGGTAACTTTTTTTTCCCTAAATGTTCAATTTTATCAAATTAAAAGATATGTGAGAACTAATTGCATACTGCTGCTCCCATTTCAACAACGGATTCCTTGATGGGAAAGAACACCTAAAAATAAGGCTGGCGAGAACTGAGTCTTGTACGGAGGCTAAAGCTTAAATTCTGTGAAGAAAATGTTGCTCTAGCCCAAATGAACTCTTATTTTAGGAAACTACCGAATTCATATTTTATATTTTAAAAATTAGGGAAGTTCTAAAATATAATTCAGGCTTTTGTTTTGACACGGGTAAAGTATATCAGTCTAAAGCCGGGCATGCCTTTAATCCCAGCATTAGGTAGGCAGAGGCAGGTGGATCTCTGTGAGTTCGAGAACAGCTTAGTGAGTTCCAGGCCAGCTGGGGATACATGTAGACCCTGACTCAAAAAGAACAATCAAGTGTATCAGTCTGGCCTGCAACTCCTGATCCTTCAGCCTCCCACCTCCTAAATGCTGGGATTACAGGCATGTGCCACCCTACCAGCTTAAAATAAAGCTTAAAATGTATTTTCAGTTATTATAGATAACAATTTAAAATTCAGCTGCATTATGCTACTAACATTCAACATTAGAAATATTTGGCAGTTGTTTATTGGGGCCTAACCCTGCTAGGTATCTGGAACAAATAGACACTTTTGTCAGATTTACAGCTCAGTGGGGAATATATCCAATTCTAGGATCTATGGGGCTAGCTCTCAGCTAAGACCTAAAAATTAAATAGGTAGTCCTCTCCAGTAGGAGTAGAAAGGGATATAAATTTGCTAAATCCCACACATGAGAAAAGCCATACCAAGATACAGGGCCTGTGGAAGTAGGCTAGGCTGGCTGGTCAAGTCCCAGGAATCCACCTGTCTCTTGTCTCCATCTACCCAGCGCTGGGATTACAAACGTGCCACCAGGCCTGCCTCTTTTTTAAAAATGTGTGGGTTCTGGAGGATTGAACT